TGTGTGTGCATGAAGGAATAAGTGTATGTGCTCCATTAGGACTCCATTGAACGAAATGTATCTGCAAACTAGGGCTGAGCGATATAGCTAAAAAATTTATCAACGATATAATGTTTCATATTGTTCGGTATTGATAATTATTGAAATTTTTTATAACCTTTTTAAAAATAAAGCGCAATAGAAAAAAATGTTTAAATTTAACCACTGTGTTTTTAATTTACCCAATTTATTGAGGCAAACAACAACAGTCAAACACAAAATAAAATTTAAACAAATATCTCCTTTCTTATGTTATATTCAGATTAAATAAGTCTTATGGAAACTTTTGGCTTGTCTCCCGAGGCCACAGGAGGGCGCAATGAGCAAAACAATGCAGCATATTAAATTGTCAATGCAATGAAATAACTGTCCATAAAAAAAACGTGCATAACGTCTACATTAACATCAAATCAAATATAATTTCGTAAATTGCATAAACAATTATGAACAAAACAGCATCATGTATTTATGCATCGCTTAAAAAAAAAAAAGCTGAATCGCCGATCACACAGATTGCATTTGAAAACATATGAGATGCAGTGAAAAGGAATAAACCTCCACAAATTCGCGACGTGTTTTCTAAACGTTTAAATAGTTTTAACTTTGCTTGGTTTTCTATACATCTCTTGTGTGATGCGAGTGCAGCAGTCGTATTTGTCTGTCTAAAAAATGCGCTGAATATGCGTTCTGTGTGAATGGCTTGGTTTTGGTTTTAACCTAATCAAGATCTTCTAAGCATTGAGCTACTATATTTCTCTAATATTTTGAATGAATAACGCAGCAGCGGCGCGTCTCGTGGGCTAGACTAACAAAGCATTAAAATGCAACAATGTCACTTACATCATCACCGCATCTCGCGTGACACTGATGACGCTCCCTGACGCACTCCTAACATTCGACTGTACCATTTTTGCATTTAAATGCAATTTTTTTTATTTTAAATTCGACTAATATAAATTTTTTTATTCACAATCTCCTCATCATAGGCAGGCACAGCACTCATGTTCGTGTTTGTGTGTGCTGTCTGCGTCACTCATAGCGCGTACCTATCCACCTTTTTCTTCAACGCGGAAGTAAGCCTATGGGCGAGACTTCCGGATCATTATCCGCTATAGGTAAATAATGAGAAGAATAACAACGTGCAGTAAATGGTAAAACTGTTTGCACTACAAACCAGTGTGTTCATAATTAAGATAATACATTAAAATAATATGGTAAGACACACCAATTTTCAATATCAAGCAGCAAAACAAACTGTTTTGTACACCTAAAAATAGCTGGACGCAGATGAGACCTGAAGCTAGACCCATAGAATTTACAAATGGCCATTTTTACGGCAAGAAAAAGGTGGATATCGTGCGCTATATCGAAATTTTTTTTATATCGTTATCGATTAAAAAGTACTGTCGATAAATATCAATACCGTTTTATCGCCCAGGCCTATTATATATATTCTATTCCATATGATATTCTATTCACTCTAAAAAAATGCAGGGTTAAGAACAACCCAGCTCTTGGTGAAATATGGACAAATCCCGCGCCGCAACAGCTAAAGTCTGTCTACACTGGACGCGATAAAAAAAAAATCATTTGAAATTTGTGTCAATACATCATAAATAGAACGCAGCAGTTTTCTGTCTGGGATATGTCTTGCAGTCAGCAGTGATGTTACGTTCTTTGCCGAGGCTTCGGAGCGTGTGTCAAGAAATCCCGGCAGCTTTCAGTGAAGCGCGTATCGAGGCTTGTATCGCTTTAGAGCAATGACGTAATTGATGACGTCCGAAGCCTCGCTTGGCCAGACTGGTTCAGGAAGCGGTTTGAATCTTGTAAATTCAGTTTTAGAATAATAATATTGGCCCTCCTGCCTATTATGAGCAAAGACTTGATTTACACACATTTGATAGCCCCATTCATTTCAAGCCAATGCGTTTATTACACAGTTATGTTATATTATGTTATACAATCATTATGAAATACGCATTATATTCATATAAATAGATTAGTCTATGTGGAAATATATTTTTTTTCTTCACCGTTATTTCTAAGCCTTAACTGGCGCAAAACATGGCGCAGGTCATCTGTAATGTATTTGCTTGTTTTACACTTTTTGGCCACCAGGTGATATTGAACCCTTTTGTGAACCACTTGGATGAAAAGCTTAAATTCTTCATAAGACTTCATCTCGCCATCACTAGCCCTGCGTCTCAATGTTCACTATCCATCCTAAATAGTATGTGAGATTAGAATAAGTGTGTCCCAAAGCATAGAATGTTGAAAAGAGTATGCCAGAAGTCCCCGGATGGTCTACTATTTCAGGTCGATTTTTGAAGTGTGGATCCGTGCACACTCTGATGACTAATATTGCCCACAATCCATTGCGCTTTGGTGAAGGATTCTGTCCAGAACTACAAACACGAATAAAACGCGTTAAAAAACTACAAACATGGCGGATGTGTGCGACCGGCGGTTAGGTAATGAGGCTTAGAAAAAGGGGTTTGAGGTACTAATATTCAACATTTAACCTACAAACCAACTGGAAAGGTGCATACCGCCACCTACTGTACTGGAGTGTGACGAAGATGGAACACAAAGAAGATTTCTATATTCTGTTCTTTAGACCGCTATTTCTCAAGAACTTCATTAATACTGTAATTATTTTATTAAATTCTACTCCTGCCTTTAAAATATCATATAAGGTAAATTCCAAAATACCCAAAGCTTGCATATCTCTTATAAGTTCAGTTCTTTCCTGTTCATATTTTTTTTACATCTAATCAAAACATGCTCAACCATTTCCATTTCCTGACATGCATTACATAAACCAGAATTATGTTTGCCGATTATATGTACACACTCAAAAGTGTGTACTTTTTCTTCACCAAAAGAGTACATACTTTAAGGGCGTAGTATAAGTAGGCACATTGAGATGCAGCATAGTAGACAGCATCTTCTTCTGTGAGTTTATTGGCGGGTTGCAAACCAACTGGAAAGGTGCATACCGCCACCTACTGTACTGGAGTGTGACGAAGATGGAACACAAAGAAGATTTCTATATTCTGTTCTTTAGACCGCTATTTCTCAAGAACTTCATTAATACTGTAATTATTTTATTAAATTCTACTCCTGCCTTTAAAATATCATATAAGGTAAATTCCAAAATACCCAAAGCTTGCATATCTCTTATAAGTTCAGTTCTTTCCTGTTCATATTTTTTTTACATCTAATCAAAACATGCTCAACCATTTCCATTTCCTGACATGCATTACATAAACCAGAATTATGTTTGCCGATTATATGAAGTGTTGCATTAAGATTAGTATGATCCATTCTTAATCTAGTATAGTAGACAGCATCACTGATTATAATGAGTTATATAGAATTTTGTCGTGCTGTGCCGCTTGTGTCTGGTGTAGACACGGTGTAACATTGGTTTTGCTTTGTTTCACAGAACTAATCGTTGCCTGGGTTGCATACGTATGTGTGGGGCGGAGCTATCAAAATAGGGGTGAGATCCTTTTGGGGTAGGGGCGTGTTTGTTTTGGTGATTTGAAATATCAACATTGGCTACCAGAAATCACTTACCCCACCTTTAAATGTTTAACCCAACCTTCTGGGTAGTTTTATTTAACTCAACTATCCTGTTGTTTAAAATTACTATATGTCTAGCTTAAAATGAACCTAAAACAGGTTGTAAATTAAAATCAGATACGTAATTTCTAGAGGCATCAGCAGTAATCAAAAGGTTTTCAATAATCAATAAGCAATTTAAAAAATGTTTATTTAATTATTATTTATTCAACTTTTATTGAACATATTAATAAATGTTAATTTAATTCCAACCTATTTTGGGTTCATTTTAAGCAAGAAATATAGTAATTTTGAAGCAATAGTTGAGTCAAATAAAACTACCAGAAGGTTAGGTTCAAACATTTAACCCAACCGCTGGGTCAAAACAACCGAGTTGCTGGGTTTGTCCATATTTCACCAGCATTTTTTAAATTTTTTTTAGATTTGATTAAAAATTACCTTTAAAAATGTTTTCTTGGCAACTAACTGACATAAAATACGTTTGTTACTTACTAAAATTAAAAGCACTAAAATAACTAAAACTAAAATTATCAATTAATTAAAGCTAATTGGAAACATAAACATTATAAAACTAATAAAAATGACAAAAGCACAAAACAAAATTACTAAAACTTAAAATAAAATGAAAACTGAAGCTAGATAAACATATTAATAAATACTCAAGAATAAAAAAATACTAAAATAACACAGTTTCAAAGCATTTAATGAACTGTTAATTTAAATTCACTTATTCGCCTTCATTCCAAACTTGTGTGAAATTCTATCTTCTGTAGAGCACTAAAGGATTTTTTTTATTTTTTTTTGGTCCATGCAGCTACAGTTAATTGAAGACTAAAGCTTTCAGACTTCAAAAAGGATGCAAAAGCATCGTAAACATGGTTTTATGATCTGTATTTGAAATTATAATTCTGAAAATAATTCGACTTGTGATTGTTTTCTAATGACAATCATCAATTTCACAAAACCAGTCTGAATGATTTGACTCATCTGGTTGAGTTCAACTCACTTGATGCAACTATTCAGTCCCTAACGGCTCACTGGACGGGAAGATTATCATTAAATAATGACTTAAATTTCTGTCAGTTCTTCACAAATTCTGTTGTATGGCTCCAGAACACTCACAATACAGTCATATTTATCATTATTATAATATTTTTATGGTGCCTCAGTTAATTTAATTGTAGAAAAGAATGATTTGCACAATCCTTTAAAATTTCTTCTTTTGTGTTCAGCAGAAGAATGAAAGTCATAGAGGTTTGGAATGACATTTGGGTGAGTAATTAATGAAAGAGTTGTCATTTTTGGATGAACTAATCCAATAGCAGCTTTTATCAGATTCTGTTCTCCCACAGTGCATCACACTGCAGGGTATGCCGATGTGAATTAGTGAGCAGGACCGGTGTGTGTCTACATCTGTTTCTTTCTCTGTATGGATGAGGTCTGTGTCTCACAGTAAAGCTATGACTCATGACTCTGTAGGCGCTTGTGTGTGATGTGTGTGTTGTGCCATCTGAATCACTGCCAATGATCTTTCACGTTCTGCTTCAATGAATGCAACCCGTTAAGCCTGGTGAACTTTGACCTTTCGTGTGATTGGCTGATTACCGCCACAGTGGGACAGGAACTGTCTCTCGTGATCTTTTACACTCCTCTTATCTGTTTTCTCTTGGCACTTTTAGTGGTGAACTGAAGAGTAACATCGAGTGTGTAGAAGTGTCTAGATTTGATGTTTTTGCAGTGATTTGGAGCTTGGGTGCTGATGGTTGATATGTATGTATGTATGTGTGTGTGTGTGTCAGTATGTCAGATTTTCTCAATGAAATATTTTATTTCTACTAATGCTGTAGGGAAACCTGTCAGTTGGTTCATTACTATAATATTTAAGGTTTAAATAATTTAAAGGTAAAAACTGACAACTGATTTGTATACAAACATTTAAATTGTGTGTGTGTGTGTGTGTGTGTGTGTGTGTGTGTGTGTGTGTGTGTGTGTGTGCAGATGAGCTCTTGCAGCAGCAGGGCTCTGACTCTGCTCTCCACAGTGTTTGGGGCGTGCGGACTGCTGTTGGTGGGGGTTGCCGTGGCGACGGATTATTGGCTGCTGATGGAGGAGGGAATCGTACTGCAGGATAAAAAAAAAATCATCATCTTTTTTCAGCATAGATATATTACATTGGTCAAAATTAAGAGTAAAGGCATTCATAAAGGTACAAAACAATATATATATTTCAAATGAATCCTATTTTTTGAGCTTTCTATTCATTAAGGAATCCTGAAAAAAAAGTAACATAAATGTTTTCAACACTGATAATAATAAAAATGTTTCTTTAGCAGCACATCAGAATATCAGAATGATTTCTGAAGGATCATGTGACACTGAAGTCTGGAGTAATGGCTGCTGAAAATTCCATCAAAGTACCATCAAAGTAATTTATTACATTTAGATTTAAAATAGAATAGAAAACAGTTATTTTAAAATGTAATATTATTTCACAGCATTACTGTTTTTACTATATTTTTGATGAGCAAAACAGACTTCTTTCAAAAACATGATATAATTTTTACCCACCCCAAACTTTTGAACGGTATTGTAAATATTGAGAATATTTACACTGTTTAAACTGTCTCACTGTTTTAGGTACAGAGAAAGGTAGATGTGTGGCCTCTGAGTATTTCACAGAGCCAGAGATTGAAATCACCACAGAAAACACTGCAAATATCCTCAGTGAGTGAACGTACTTCAAATCAAAGTAACATGTCCACATTTACACGCACAACTCTCACACACATGTATTTACTGGTCTGGCAGAGATGGTGCGGACAGCTACCCCCTTCCCTATGGTGTCCCTGCTCTTCGTTTTCATGGCCTTCATCATCAGTAACGTGGGCCACATCCGTCCGCAGCGCACCATCCTGGCCTTCGTTTCTGGAATCTTCTTCATCCTCTCAGGTAGTGGGAAACCTTTCCTTCTTGTAAGGTGGACACACCTGGTGCAATGAATCCATAATTTGTGACCCTTTATAAGTTCTATTTGTCAGTTTTTAGACATTTTATATTTATATTGAACATATTATATAACACTTTTAGGATATAGGATATAATTATGTCATCACAAATCAGAGGTGTAAAGTATTGGAGTAAATGCAATTAGTGTAGTGGAGTAATTTTCACTGTAAGGTATCTGTACTTTTACTCAAGTATGGTTTTTAGGTACTCTTTACACCTCTGTCACAAATGGGCCTGGAGGAACATTCTTTTGAATTAAGACTCTTTCTAAAATGCTCTTACCGTTAAAAATAGTTCATAACATATTTAATACAGATCCTTTTTTCAGGAAGATTACATTTGTGAGTATTTTGTGTTCTGTACTCACCAGAATGCAAGCAGTACCATCTGTTTTACATTAATGATGTCTCCTCCAATCATAAACCTGTGTCTGAGCATGAAATCGCTCCATCTGTTTATTTAGCAGTTTTTGGAACCAGTGGATGCAGTGATAAAGTTTCTTTGGAGGAAGTGCTGTATTTTTATTGCATTAGTTATTCTGTAAAATAACACATCTATCATACTAGTAGGATATCTTAACCCTCTGTCACATGAGAGCTCTCATTACACGATTGCATATCTTTTGCTCTTATTATTTTCTCATGTAATGTTCTAACACAGAGCAAAAACACAGTCATTTATTCATGTAGGCACAACTGCCTGATGTGTCCTATCATGTAAATGTGAAGATTAAACTCATCAGTCAATGGTGCCAGATTTATTTTCCAATAGATACCTCAAATATCTGAGCATGCAGTTCAGTGCTGCACCAGCAGAGGTCAGCAAGATTATAAAATATATAACATGTTCAATTAGATAGAATCAGACAGAGACCCTAAGTAGGCATTGCAGCACAAATTTGTCTAAATATAAAGAGCTCATATGAAATGACATTTAATGATTGAATTATTATTGTTTGTTAACTTAAACTAACCATATAGTTACACTATTCAATTACACTATTCGAGTAGGATGTCTTATCTAATTTTTTTTTAAATCCTGAAACCTAAACATTTACGTACAGAGCTTGAATTTCCACAATAAAAACCTAGGATTTAGCTATATTTTAGGAATATTTTAAATACTTAATATTTACAAAATATGTTCATTTCTAGGTCCCTAAAACCAGCACATTTGTGACACTGAAGCACAAGATGCTCTTTGGATTAAATATTTAAACTTTAAAGTTACTTTTCACTTTATATATTTAATATTTACAAAATGTGTTCATTTCTAGGTCCCTAATCAAACCAGCAAATTTGTGACATTGAAGCACAAGATGGTCTTTGGATCATTCTCAAATCATGCTGGAGAAAATGATCTACTTTTACTCTGCTGCTGTCATTACATATAAAAAAAATGTTATTAAAATGAGAGAATTTTAATAACATTATAAGAATTATAGTATTAATAGAATATTATAATGACATTAAAAAAGCGCTAAATAAATGCATTTTCCCTCATGAACTAGGTTTGAACTCCACTGTAAACAGGCATAAAATAGCACTTATATATCAGTCTGCAGTGAGAGTCTAACCCTAACCTGAATGTAGAACTTATTTGTATGCAGATGCCACTGTTATTTACTGCATCGCTGCCTCAACCTTGCACACGGCCAGAAAAGACCTTCAACTTTATCGAAAACACCTCTCTCCTCTTGCAGCACAAACTTCCTGACAGGCCGCCCTTGAAAAACACCTTTTTACTTGTCCTTTTCTCTCTGTGTTCTCTATCAGCCTGCTGCTGAATATGTAATGGGCATTTCAGACTGCTCGGGGCTGATAAAAGTGCTTCAGTTGAAAGAAGCCATTAAAAAGTAAAGATCATAGTGCCGTTAGATGGAGCGGCTGTGAAATGTAGCTGATGTTTGCAGGAATGTTGTGTTTTTGTTTTGTGTATGTCATTCGGCTGTTGCGATAAATATTACAGGCATTTCTCGGTTTGTGCACGTTGTGTGAGCTTTTCTCACCCTGTTCCTTTTACAGTTTTGCCATCATTCTCTGTCCAAACCCGCACACATACTCACATTCCTCTGCTACGCACAATCTGCTTGCCTCTGCTTGTTAAAGGTATAGTTCACCTTGTAGATGTTCATGCGAACATATGAACACAAAGGACATCAAAATTGGATGAAAAGCCATAAACCGGCCATTGCTTTAATGAACTCGCAGGAAGACAAACTCTTAAAGGGGAAACACCCCGCCACCGGCAACTAAACACCCTTAAAGGGGAAACATAACAAGAACTGGATGTGAATTCTGTCACATCTTTAAATGTATGCCGCCACAACCTAAAAATTCAAATTTGATGAAAATGTACTCTCTTTCAGGCCATCTTAGATGTAGATGAGTTTGCTTCTTCATCTGAACAAGATGAGAAATTTAGCATTACATCACTTGCTCAGTATGGATCCCCTGCAGTAAATGGGTGCTGTCAGAATGAGAGTCCAAACAGCTGATAAAAACATCACAATAATCCACAAATAATCTACACGATTATCCATAATATTTCTTTTTCTAGTGAAAAAGTCATCTCATCTGAATCAGGAGAGAAATATGCACAAATCAAGCACAAGTGAAAATAGCCCAATATAGTTCTTAACAAATATGTTTTTGATGTGAGAGGACAACAGGGGATGGAAGAAACATTATTATGGATTATGGACTCATATTTTGGCTGGAAGCGATGGTTTAAATTACAACATATTAATGAGGGATTTGTTTATTACAAACATGCTTCTTTTGCCTTCATAAAGCATTAATTGATGGACTGGAGTAGTGTTGATTACTTGTGGATTATTGTGATGTTTTTATCAGCTGTTTGGACTCTCATTCTGGCGGCACCCATTCGCTGCTGAGGATCCAATGGTTAGCAAGTGATGTAATGCTGAATTTCTCCAAATATGTTCCAACGAAAAAAAACAACTCTTTTACATCTTGGATGGTCTAAGGGTGATGAATTTTAAAGCAAGTTTTAATTTTTGGCTGAACTACTCTTTAAAGTTGCAATGGAAGGTATAATAAATCCTGGTCCAAGCCTCTGCTCAATTCAGGTCAATTCATACTATCTCAACAGCCGCTTATGAGCACTATTAATTACAAATATAAGCTAAGCTATTAAAAACTCGCGATGTACAGTCTCTGGGCTCACAGCATCCTGGACACCAATATTTTAACAATTCAAAACAGTCTGACCATCAGTAATTTCAATATGTATGTAAAGGTTAGGATTATGATTTTTTTTTTTTTTAATATTCCAGCACACAGTAGGTGTACAGTATGTTAGCATCGTTGTTTGCTTTTGGCATCTAAAAGAGCGTTTGGACCCGGAAACGGTCACGTGTGACGTCAAACTTACCAAGCAGATTTATCTCCTCTGTCCTCCATGCATCTCTCCTAGCCTGCTGTGCCTGCAGTGAGGAGAGTTTGGGGATGTGATTTATTTAGATGGAGCTGATGTCCTCTCATCAGTGGCCGGGCAGAGCCCTGGAGTGTGTACAGTACTTGTGTGTGTCTGTTGAGTTGGCCGAGGGTGAGCGGTAAGTCCTCAGGAGTCCGACAGGAAGTGCATCACAGTGCAGTTATTTAACTATATTGTTTAGTTCTGTTGTTCTAGTTTTCTTGCAGCTGCATTTAATATTTGTTATTCAGCAGGTGGCATCTTGGTGGTCTGTTGATTTTTCTTCACTGATTTGCTCTCTCTCTCTCTCTCTCTCTCT